TGGAATATTTTAGGAGGGAACAGTTGTTAGGTATTTAGTTTAGTTGATTTGAACCCATTTTTAGTTCCTTTTTGAGTTAGCTCTGTGAGCAAACTTCTTGTTTTGAGTTTGCGAGCTCGGAATCGAATCAACGGAGGATTCACAAGCGAGTTAACGAAGCGATTAAACGGAACAAATGCGGGCTTCGCTATAGAAGGAGTTAATCGTATTTAGCTCATTCAAAGCTTTCAAATTGCTTTTTGTTCTTTGTAATTGGAGAATAATTTGTTTTTTCTTCTTACAAAATGCTTAGCTAGCTGGAAATGCAAGAGGAGAGTAGAAAAGAGCTGAGTTTAAGCCAAAAGGGCAGTTGCGTCATCCTTCGATCGGCCTGTTAAGCCTGACCACTACTACAATCTTTTTAAGATTGTAAAGCATTTATTTTCAATGCCCCTCGCTATTGCAAATTGAATCATTAGAAGGAATAAAATAAATCAATTGAGCCCATTGAAAAACGAACTAAAATTAAAAAAAATAATAATATTTAAAACTCAAAACCAGGCTTAAGTGATCTTAGATTATGTCCTAACTATCATATTAAAATTCGTCTTGTAGATTTTTTGAGACCTTTGAGTTTTTTTCAGGGTACTAATCGGGTCACCACTATCACTATTATCAATTTGTTGCTTTGATGATGTCAATTAAAGCTTTACGAGGTGAAACTTCGTTGGAAGCCATAGACAAGCTTTTAAACTTTCTTGTAAGAACGTTGAAAAAAATGAAAGAACTCAAAAAGAGCAAAATACGAACAAAAAGAGCGTCCTTGGTGCAAAATCTGCTCACAATGTGCAAAATACACAGCTTGGCCCCCTAATGCGTATCGAATAAAATTTGCGATTGAAGCAGGTTAACTAAAATTGCAGTTAAAATTTTAGAAAGACCGACGGGAGCAGTTTCGGTTAGTTTTTTGCGGTGTTTTACCTGAATTATTGTAATCTGAGACCCTTCTCTCACATTTTACCGGTACCCCTCTATCACAATTATCATTTTAACTGGGAATTCTCTCTCACATTAGCTTTTACCGTGACTCGTCTATCACGCTTGCTTTTTTTTCTGTTTTCTGAATCTGTTTTTATCAACCAGCTTGCAACAAGAAACTTATAGCAGCAGTAATGACAAAATTGTAAAATAAAAAAAACCGGAAAAACTTTCGAAGTCTGGTTAAGTATTAATAATCCCAGTGAGGTCACTTGATTTGTTTTCTCTACAGCTTGTGACTATGTGCGTGCGTGAAAAAAACCAAAATGTGTTGTTTCATCAAAAGTTACAAAAAAGTTTATTTTTGAGCATGTTTTAGACAGTTTGAACGAAGCTTAACTTGCTTTTTAAATTAAGTAACCAACATCACGATGCCAAACTCGGGAAATTTGATAGTGGTTGCGTTCTGCATTTATTGTCCCTGGGAATTGCTTAATTTGCGTCATGTTCCGCAAAATCATATGAAGGTGGAAACCGGATGGAAGCGAAGGACACTTGTTTGAACACTAGTTGCTAAAATTGAAAATTAGCTTGCGTGCAAAAATTTGGAATCTTGTGACAGTTCGGATTGTGAAGATACATGCTCTGACATGTTTTGTTCGGGATTCCGCAGACAAATACAAGTATGCAGTTTGTCAGTGGATTTCGCAGTCAGTTTTTGTCACTGGATTCCATAAACACTTTTTTAGCTGTGCGCACAGCGTTTTTCAATATCTGATTTGGTAGATTGGGGAACGTTCCAGTCAAAAAACGTCGTCGAATTTCAGCTTGTGACAAATTATGTGTGTCAGGAAATGAGAAAAATGAGCTTCTTAATTTTTCCTCCCCTCAGCATTTAAGACAATGATCTTAAATGCTGAGATGCGGTGCGGCTGGGGGCGCTTTTCTCTTAAGCAATTAGAGCAATGTCCTAATTGCTTAGGGGGGATGGGCTTTAAAATGGATCCGATAAACATTGCAACCGATTCCTCTGATAAATGGCGGAATTCAGCGACACTTCAACGGTCAAAACATATTTGTTTGCGGAATCACTTGGCAAAATTTACTTTTTCGGCCTTCTGTGTAGCGATCGTTTGATTGTTGAATCCACTGACAAAGTTCTCTAAAACACGATGTGCCTTGGAATCCAGATGTGCCCCGGAACCCAGACGCGTGAAAGCACAAATATGTGCTCAGTTACAAAATGGAGCTTGGCGTCTTGATGTAGTAAATATTTTAATTTTTTGACCTAATCGAATTCATTATCAGCAAACCTCATTAAAAGCATAGTTTTACAAATTCTCTATGAGAAATCCTGTGCAAACTTTTATTGTTTTAAAATACGGTTCCCGGCCGCATGTGATTACCTGCAATGTTTTTGCTGTATTTCCAGAATAACTACATAAACCTCGGCTCATTTTGCCATTTTGAGTGCCTTTTTGTTCCGACATTTTAATTTCGACTCTAATTTCGACTTTTTAATTGGCCATTTTCGATGGAAGTTTTAAAGTCATTTAAATCGTTATGAGGATTTCAAGATTGCCATTATGGTCAATTCGTGGCAATTGAAGCGCGATATATTTTGCGCTATTAACGCATAAGTGGAGATTTATTTAATCCGTCTGAGAAATAGATCAAAATTGGTTGAAAGAAACTTAATTTTCATTATTGATTTGTTACTAGGAGCGAAATTTATCACTTTGTACCTTATATCGTGTATGGTGGATGATTTTCACAAAACATCTTAAAATTAACTTTTTCTACATTGAATGTTTTCATGTTTTTACTGCTCCATAGACCTTCAAAGGCAGTGGGAACATTCAGGTTTTTGCCCTGATACGAACAGTCTTGTTGTTCTTGTTTTGGATTTTTGCGGGCTTAGAGTAGATTACGGTCCGTGTGCTGCCGAAGCATCTAGATGTCTTCCTTCTATTCCAATTACTGTGTTTTTGCTAGTGCATAAAATAAAACAAGTTTTAAAAAAATTAAAAACCATTTAGTGTCAATGTGAAATTTTCTGAAGAATGAAATATACCACAAGAGAGTCTCCAATGGATTCATTTGATGAAAGTATCATTTATGTTTGCGCGGGCGTTATGGGACAAAAGTTTAAATACTTTTTAAACTCAAATAATTTCAAAAATATCTTGAAATTTTTGAAAATCATTTCAAATATGTACCGGAAACAAAAACTCCTTGATCGAATATATATTAGATTTTAGAAATTTAGATTTGAAGGAAATGGTTTAAGTCAAAATAAGATGAAAATAGGTTTTTTTCCACTCCCCTTCTGATCTACTGTTAATAATTCAGCAAAAATATACTTCGACTATAAATTAACAGTCGAATTTCCAAAAGAATTAAAGTAAACAGTCGATTTTCCAAAATAGAGATTAAATGTCTCAAAATTTCCCAACATTTAAATGTCTTCGAATTCTATTAAGAAAAAATGATATTGAAGGTCGATTTTGTCTATTTTTTTCATCAAAATATACAAAAAATATACAATTCATACGGAGGCAAAAACTAGATTGTTCCGAAATTTCACAGAATCTAAACACTTAAAGTAAGCAAAGATTGGCGTTTGCTCCAATCAAAAACATTTTTTGTTTTCAAATTATGTCGCGTTATTCGTGGTAAACTAGAGCATATTCATTTTTAACAGTTAGTAGGGTACATTTGACAACATTTTTCGTAAAAATCTGAAAAAAAAATCAAAATTTTTCAAAAAGGCACAAAGAAATCTTCGAAAGCTAAAATACCGGAAAAATGAGGTTCCTCGACTTAACTTGCCCGAAATTTGAATCAAAATGCAAGCTGGTTTTCTTAACAATGGAATGTTTTTTTTCTTCATTTTTTAGTTTCATCTGAACTTTGACTGAAAGAGCTTTAAAATCCTGTATCGTTCATACCGTCGCTGTGATTATTTGTGGTGCTTGATTTTGCACGGAAAACAAAAACAAAAGTTTCATACACTCCCGTGCGCGACGTTTCTTCCCATTTCCAATTGTCGGAACAAAAAATCAATTACGAAATCGAGAGGATCAGTTGTGATAGAACCAAAGTTGATACACATTTTCCACGTCTACGCATTTTTTAATTGTATATATTCAAGTTTGGATGAACAATCTATATTAAAATTTTCTTTGTAATACCGGTATGGTATGTCTATCTTGACTTCAATGGATTTTTTTAAAAGCAACTTTACCATGAAACATTAGTTTCAATCAATTTAAATCCTATTAAATGTTCTATTTATTTTTTGTTATGATCGAAACACGGTAATTTTGGGTATTGAACGCATATAGATTTTAAAAAAACTTAAGTTGATAGAACTTCTTTTTTAGGTTCAAGACTAAGTCTTAAAGTGGCTCTGAAGCAGAAAAAGGACAGAGTCGCTCAACTTCTCACATTTGGTACAACTATTTCCTGCTATAGTTTTCTTGAATAATTTCGCGAGATTCCTCGAAATTTTGCGAGCGTATAATTGCTTTAACTCACGTTAACCAAAAATGTTGTTGTGGCTAGCTGCATATCAAAGGTATATATTTACAGGACTGTTATTAAAGTTTGGCAAGCAGAAAAATCCTTCAAAAAATCAAATTCCTGGTGAGTTTTTGTTTGTGTTCCAATTTGTTCCGACCGACTCGACTTCATGTTTCGACTTATTGTTTCGACTGTGCTGTAACTTTGCGCTCAACTTTATGTTCTGACTTTGGGTTCGACTTTATGTTTCAATTTTGTGTACGACGGCCTTAAATTTTGACTACGTATTCGACTTTTTTTTAACTTGTTTTTGAGTAGCTGGACAAAAAATTAATTTTGGCTTCCAGAATTTTTTGGGAACATTTTGCTTGGGAAATTTACAAACGGATTTGACCACAGGCTCGCCTGGTTTGCTCATATGGAACTTTCTACTGTTTTTTGTACCACTCTCTTCTTGGCTGTGCATATAGAAAAATTTTGATAGTCAATAGTTGTTCACTTTTTATGACTCGTTTTCTTTAACTTACTTGATATAAATTTTCATTTGAAGCACATGAATAGTTGTTGTTCAAATTTGCTTTTACATATTCTGATCAGTTATGATTAAAACACATCTTGAATCAAATTATGAATATAACTTTCGACATCTCTTAATTGTTTCGAGGTAATCAAATTACAAGATAATTTTTGAAAAAAATCTTCGAAACAAAAACTAACTTGTTTATGTTTCAGTTACTACTCAATACAAGCAACCAGCGCTAATAACGGTAGAATAAATATGGTTTCTGTTTATTATTGTTTTTAAATGATGACCAAGTATAATTTTGGGCAAGTTTTGAAATATATTTTTTTGAGGTTTATCAAAGCATCATATAGAGTTTATTTAACCTAAACTATTAACGCTGCATGAAAAACATTGCACAATTAGGCCATGAATGACCTTTTAGTTGCCTAAAAAATTGCGTGCACTCCTTATGTGGCCATAATAAGTACATATAAACGCCCTCTTTTAGTAGTATTTGTCAATCAAAAACGGCATATCCTAAAATACCAAGGGGTGAGCATTTTTCATCGAGTGATCGACCGAATACTTTATCGATAACTCGTCCAAAGATAGCTGATTTTCACGAGGGCGATTGTCACAAGACTAGAATCCATTTTTTCATTTGACGTTTTTTCTTATGAGATGCAGACCAACCCTAATGAATTAGATTTATAAATATGATGGGAATGCTTCAGACGACAGTAGTTCGACGAATGACCGCCTTGTACTCTACATTGGAATAGGGCTGGGTGTTCTTGTAGCTACGATCATCACAGTTATTGTCATTATGGCTATCTTGTGCAAAGCTAGAAAACAGTTAGTTTTTGTCCGACCATTACGAAATCATGTTTTTGCTCACGTTCGATGTACCCTTACAGAACTTCGCCCGAAATAACCGAGTGACAACTTTAAATAGAGTACAGTTTGAAAAAAAACAATAAAAAATCAACTATTTTGCTGAACAATTTTTTTGGCCGAAGTTTTCAGTGTTTGCGGAAGAAAAGAAAGAGTCTATACTTTCAAATCGTTATATTTTTTGATTGTTCGGCTATGAGCGGAGCTAAACAAAAACTTGAAAAGAAAATTTGCATAATAAGAGTTGAATACACAAATCTGACAACAGTTTTTATTAAAGAAATTCGAAAAATCTATCAATTCAAAATAAATCTGTAATGCAGAATGTTATGCAGAATTTTTTTCTTTTTTTTCCAAGTTTTTTTGTTATCAAAAGGCGCTACAATGAAGCTTCAAGAACATATATTCCTCAGGTAAAACTCTTATCACGTCTTACTTGCGTGTTTAAGTTTTCTCGCGTTTGCTTTATTTACTCAAAACTAGACCAAAACTTGAAAAATTTTATCTGTTTTTCGCTTCAAGGCGGAGATTTTAAATTTTTTTTAAATAGGGTTAGAATCAGGATTGCAAGGGCTTCATTATAATGTATCTCTCGACCAGTTCCGCAGATTGATTAATGCATCTGATTTCGCGTGGAATAAACAAGGATATCCCATTACTGTGTATGTAGCACCGAATATTCCAACCATCGTCTTTAAGAAACTGCAAATTTTTCTTCAAATTTGTGTAGTTTTCGTGCGTGGTTAGATAGAAAAAAAACCTGAAATGAAACTTTGATTTAAGTAAATTCGGCAGTCATACTTAATAATGTAAAACAAAATGGTCAAAAAGTTCTAGAAAAATTACTAGAAAATCGAAAAATCCCGAAACACAAAAACTCAAAATTTTATTTTCAATTTTTTCAAAGTTCATGGTTCCAAAATGGAGCTAAGAAATCCCAAAAAATAGTAATAATTGCTTAAAACTAAGTGTTTACAGCTCAAATTAGACATATTTAAGCTTTTGTAAGCCTGCTCGCTGACCTTATTTGCTCAGAATAAGGCAAAAAATCAAAAATATCAAACCGGTTTATCCCGACAATGAAAATTTTTAAAAAACATTTTTATGTCAATCGAATCACGACTAAAGTGCTTTCAAGATGGTATATGGCTGCACTCTCTTCGTTGATTATTTGTGGTTGCGGATTATTTTGGGAAAACAAAAAAATAGAAACAAGATTAAAAAACTAAAACACACCCGAACACAAATTCCATCCCTTTTTTCAAATGGTTGGAAAAATGACAACACACCCAAACACACATTTTAAGCAAAATACGCACATACAGAAAAATAAATAACTACACACAGAAAAACTTTCTTGCTCTTTGTCTGTCATCCGGCCGGATTGGCAAAGTTAGTGTAAGTTAATTTATATTGATGTTAGCTCACTGCGTTGAGCTGGTCAGTTGACCTTGTATGATGTTGCGAAAGCGACACATCACAAAATTTTGGTGAGAAGATGAATGAAGACATTCCGAACTAGTAGTTTATTTGAATTCTCAGTTGATATTATTTTTCGTTTACCAATCCCTTTAAATTCAATTTTAACGCAAAATGACACGGTGCAGCCAGCAAGATTCATGAAAAGTCCACTTAACATCAATCCATTTTCGGAAAAAGCTTCAACGGGACCGCACTTAGAATGGTCCAAATGCGCCGCGATTGTCAAAATGGCAGAATTCGCAGAGGACGGGATCGAAGTTTGAATTTTTTTACGAGATCAACCTGAATTCGTCGATCCGCCAGAACCAGTCTTGGAAGTTAAAAAAATGCGGGAAACAGACGCACAAAGAAAAATCAGAGAAGCCAGGAGCCAAGAAAAACGCGTCGGATGGGAGAACCGATGCCTAAAATCTCGAGAAAAGGGCGTCTTATGTAACTCAGTAGCATGGGACGAAGCGGATGCAAACGTGGGAAGTTATTTGTTCCTCTGATTAGGCACAGAAGGACAAAGGCAGGTACAACAAAAATGTTCAGGATTGGACATACAATCTACAACAACAAAATCACTCGTGCTAGTTAAGGAAGTTAGTTTCAAAACGGAAAAAGTAATCGCATTCAAACGATAAAAATTCATTTGTCGTAAGCAGAAAAAAATGAATAGCTAGAGCAATTTCACGCTGACTTAGTAGAACTCAGATCAAAAGCAGACTGCGGAGCCGCAAGGACAAATAGGTTCCAGCCATGTTCACCGTACATATGCATAATGATAAGATCACAGAGGAATTACCAGCAGAAAACCGTTCAACAAAGGACGCATAAGAATACGCCATTAGAAAAAGTTTTTGAACACAGCAGAACTACTAATTCTTTCGGTTTATTTTCTTCAACAGCTAAAAATTAAGAACTATTGGGTTGCATTCAACCTCGAGGCCGGGCTGGCCATCCACAATATACAAGGAATAACTGAGGCAGATACCCTCGAGGACGCCAAAACTACATACGCGGAAATCAAAACAGAAATCTACAAACCAGAATAACATGCAGCAAATAATTGCTACAAACATGGAAAAACATCATTTGGACCCAACCCTTTTCAATCATGCCAGGCGAAAGAAAAAATCTGCGCAAAATGCGCAAAACGGGGACATTTTGCGAAAGTATGTAGATCAGAAAATGTCAACATCCTACAAAAAAAAAACAACGAAGAACAATCCATCGCAAAAGGCGATCGAAGTCAGAAAATAGAAGAAAGAGATCTAGTTGCATTCGCCGAATTCACGTCACAGCATGGGTGGGAAGAACCACAAAGAGATAATTTTTGCACGATGGCAATCGCTGAAGCATTTGAAAACAGAAATTCAGCGAAAATCAACGGTGAAGATCTACATGATTATAAAATGAATTTCAAGACAAAATCCGAACCCATATTTGTTATCGCGATTTTTGGTATTCCTGTGTCTTCTTAAACGAGACAAAAGCACGTCGGCTGCAACAAAATGACAGTTCAACGATGTTCAAATATATCCCCACGGAGGTCGGTGAAGGAAAACTTTACACAACTATGCGTCAGAATAGGAAAAGCAAAAAACCACGGGCTGAAAACAGAGTTCACTTCGGAAGTGACTCCTATCCAGCAAAAAGGCCGCAGAGTCCCGACTCATCATCAAGAGAGAGTTGAAGCAAAATTAAACAAACTGATAGACCAGAAACTTATTGTGAAACTAGACAAATGTTCAGCACGAAAACAGCCCGATCGTAATAACGTTGAGAGAGTTCAAACAGTAAAACTGGCGTTAGATTCGGAGAAAACTAGCAATTCATCTACAAAAACAAAATTCAAATGCCAAATATACTGCTACTTCTTGACAACGTCGCTCAAACAAAAAAATCTTACACAAAAGAATAAACCTTGTTCTCGTATCTTGACTTAAGATATGCTTATTCACAAATCCCTTTGGATAAACATACTTGAGAGCAGTGAAACATTAGCCTCATCGGGGAAAACGCCACGGAGAGTACCAGTTTCACACAAGTTTCTAAGACCTCATGGATATGCCGGCAGAATTTCGAAAAGCAATCAAACTCAAGTTAACAAATTTCAAAACACTTATGCATATCTCGATGATTTACTAAGAGTTACGCTGACGCATTCAAAATACGCTATTTGCAGAATGGTTCAGCTCTTTTTTGTTTTTTGACAATTGCGACAGAGATACGCCATTTCCGGAATCATTCCGCGCTCGTTAACTTTTGACAACCGCGACCGAGATACGCTGTTTGCAGAATCATTTGGCGCTTGATTTTTTTAACAATCGCAACCGAGATACGCTACTTGTAGAATCTTTCCGCGTTTTTTTGACAATCGCAACCGAGATATCCCATTTCAAAATTTGTTCCAAGATTATCGAATTTTTGACGATCGGCCCGAGGTACGCTTTTTGCAGAATCTTTTTGTGCTTGTTAATTTGTTGAAAATCGCATCCGCGTTACGCTAATTGCAGAATCGTTTGGCTCTTGTTATTTTTTGAGGTACAAAAAAACAAATTCAGAAACCGTTACAAAAACTCGATGGAAAAATTTTTGCCATGTCTATAGACAAATGAAATTTTGCCTGCAAACAAATCAAATGGCTAGATTATAACATAGATAGCGAGAACACGACCTCTCTTATTAGAAAAACAGAAGCCACATTAAAACTATCTCCACCTAAAACATTCAAACAATGAAAATATTTATGGGTTTTTTACATCATCTCACAGGATGCATTCCCCATCTGGTATAAACTGCCGAGGCACTACGTCCACTACTAAAGAACATAGAAAAACTCAAAAGAGATTATGCATCAACACATGACTTAACATTCAACAAGATTTAAAAAAAAATTAGTCTCTAAAACAACACAGAATAAACATATTGACCAAAAACTTGAAACACGCAGGGTTTGTGACACCTCAACTTCCGGTTTAGAAGCAGCCCCAGAAAAAAAACACACCAGAAGGTTGGGTGGCACTCGCATACGCGTCTATATTTCTAAATCCATTGAAAAAAAAATATTCAGGAAATGAACTAAAACACTTGGGGGTCGTTTAGGCATAAGAACACTTCGAATACTACTTATACGGCAATAATTTTCTCGTCATAACAGATCCTGAAAAGCTTTATTTAGCGAACGAAACGCAAACGAAAGATCAAAGAATAATCAAAGGAGACTAACAAGATGGATCGATTGGCTAAATTCTTTAAGTTTTGACGTGAAATATTTGGCGGGAATGAAATTGGAGTAATTGACTTCATGTCTCAAAATACGATTGGTTTAGCATAACCACCTAGTGAGTATGAAGAGGAATCTTTTGTGGCGTCAATCAGCTCATTCATAATTATTCTTGAGATGATTGACAACTTAATCTTAAAACAATTGGCCAAAAAAAAGCTAGCATCGAACCGACTAATCAAAAAACTCATCGAAAATGAAAGAAAGCTAACGGGACAACCCAAATCTCAAGTTCATTCCAAAAAAATCACTCGACGCACAAGCGGTCAAATATTTCAACAAAATCTTAATCGTTCTCTCAGAAGTTTTTTCAAAGTCCAGTCTGAAACTAAAACACTTAATAGGAAAATCAATTTTGTCAATTTCAAACAAATACAGCAGAGCACAAAGAAGATGCGAAAATTAACCAGTTACAAGAGATTTGAAAGGGGCTTTGTTCCGGAAAACGAAGGTACCACACATCGTAACAGAACCAAACGTCGGATAGAGAAGTTACAAGGATAATCCAATCGGGAGGAGAGCATCTCAGATTCACGATGGCAACGACAAAGGACAGATGAAAGGCTCATCCAGACGCTACGTCAACAACAGCCACAAGCAAGGACGCTGGAGAAAACATCAAAAAAGCAACTGAAAATCACATTTCCAAAAATTGTTTCCAGTGACAACAGCACACACCAAGAGGACGCCGATAAAATAACCTTGAAAACAAATACTGATATCGGAACCACGATTACAGGACCAGTGTAAAACATCATCGTCCAAACAAACGGAGCCAAAAATTCAAAACATCGCAAACAAACCGATCTACCAATCTAAACGAAAGAGTTAAATGAAAATTGCATAAGCCGCGTGGATTCAAATGTGTTTCATTGCCGCGTGGATCAGTTTCATTACCGGCGCAACTCGAAAAGATAGAAATATGCGCCCAATTGTTAACTTCTTGAAATACTGGTACAATATACGACACCACCATCACGTACGAGATGATTGTCTGCTCATCAACGAGCGAATTGTAGTCCTACCCAACTTCGAAAGACAGTGTTGGATAGCTTGAATCGCACTCACCCCGGATTGGCGGGCATGCTAGACGACTTCCAACACATCTGGTTTCCCCACATCCACAGTTCAATTGTGCAGATGTCCCAAGGATGTCAACAGTGTACCGAGAAAGAAACTAATAATGGGAGAAAACACTCGTCCCAAATGGAACCTGTTGTCGAACCTAACGAAGAGGCACAATCAATTTTTTGGGACCTCTTTGAAAGAACTAAAAAAAGATGCATATATACTAGGTGCTATAGATAACTGGTCAAAATTTCCAACAGCTGAGGTAGTTTCGAACATGACGGCAGAGGTCGCATGAAAATTTATGCAACGTTACACATCAAATGACGGAGTACCTCGTAAACTAAGATGCAACCAGGCACAAAACTTTCGAGCCAACAAGTTTCAACTTATTTGCATTCGAGTCAAATAAAACTCCTCTTTGCATCAGTCGATGACCACAGATCTATAAGGAGGGTAGAAAGAGTGATACAAACAACTAAACAGCGACTCGGAGTAATGAGAACTGACAAGAACAAAACTGCGATCAAATTAGACTTGGATGTCGCGGAAATTATCAAAACGTCACCTATAACTCCACACGGAATAATATTAATAACACCATTTGAAGCAATTATAAGTAGAAAAACTAATTATCCACTTTCAAACATAAAAATAAATAGTTCATCTAACAATTTATTTTTGGGAAAACCCCAAACACGCCTGTTTAGATCGGAAAAATTTTATACACCTTCCAATTTTAGTGCACGACCTCCAAAAAAGACCATTAACAAAATTATGATAAAAAGAAGAGTCCCAGAGCCTGCAATCATTCAACACACACCAGCTAAAGATAGCATACAGCCATCAAATAAAGATGTGAAAATTAGGCGATTGTTAGCTCTTGAAAAAGAGAAATTAAATGTAAGATATAAAGGTATTCAGCAACAAGTCCAACCAAATATCAAAAAAACGAATAAAAACAAGTAGCACAGAAATTAGCTATGTTGGCAACAAAAGTAAAAAACCAAAAATTTTTGGACAAAACTATTGTAGGGAAAATCTTAACATTTACGCCATGTACAGCGTGGGTACAAACAAAAGAAAAACAACCAATACTTCTGAGAAATAGTGGGGTTGCGTTCGTGCCTAAACAGTTAATCTATGGTCTATGCCGGCGGTCCTTACTTAGCGACTACGTGGCATATAAGTCCGCTTGGATAACAAAACCTTGTTTGTGTTTTTTGGATTTCAAGGATCCTAACGCACCACAACACCCTATGTTTCGAGAGGACACAACGAGACTACTAGTGAAGCAAACTCAAAATAAGTCACAGGTCAATCCGATCAAAAGGAAAGCCGCAGGAAAACGAACAAGGGGAAACCAGTAAAACGAACTCAACAAACGAAGCCGCCAAAATGCTACCACCAAAAAAATCGGGTCGCGCCAAACAATCAACTCTAGCCGGGGCACTGGGGAACCCGGTGCCATATACTGGCACAGAAAAAGGTGATTCAATCACCGGCAAAACAATTCTCAATCGAATCACGCACGGACAAAAAACCAGGAAAATGCCACGACAACGAAACAACCTTCTGAGCCCAATCCAAAACCCAGTCTAAAGAACGGCAACTCGGAGATGGGGTTTCATGCGAAATCGCCGGAGTACAAAACCTGCGTAGAACTTTTGGACGCATAAAACCGAAGCCAAAGTAAAAAGACCAACATGCAATGGAAATCACCGAATTGGTGTCCCCTGCAAAAAGCCCACAGAAAAGGCAAGATATGGAGGTTCTAGTCGTAACCAAAAACAAAATAAGGAAAGCATGAACACAGAGTCAGACCACAAAAGAGACGACTTTGAGGAGCACCAAGAAAAACAATAAGAAGAGGACAAGGAAGTTGACGGGAAAATCCAACCGGAAGTGAGAAACGAAAAAGAAATAATGTAGAAGCCGTATAGTCCAATGAGGACCGAAAACTCAAAACTGCCCCTATGGGACATAAGAACTTTAGTCCTACTGGAACTTAAAACTCAAATCATTAATTTGTGTTCTTTTTCTTACGGGGGAGGTGGAATAACATCCGGCCTGATTGGCAAGTTTAGTGATTATTTTATATTGATGTTAGCTCACTGCGTTGAGCTGGTCCGTTGACCTTGTATGATGTTACGAATGCGCCACATCACGATATGTTGGTTAGAACATGAATAAAGACAGTCCGAACTAGTTGTTTTATTTGAGTTCTCAGTTGATAATGTTTGTCGTTTACCAGTCTGTTTGGATTCAAGTTTAACAGCTATCATAACCCGCGGCATGACAATGTCCTTCCCAAAAACACATAAACTAAATAATGAAAAAGTAAAGATTAGGGAGTTAATGTTTTAGTTTAACAAAAACTTTACGATTTGATATGAGTATTTCGTTTTTTTTGCTAGCATTCTGCTTGATAAAATCGGCAACGGCAAAGTTTGGAAAAAGTGTTTCTAAGTTAATGATATCTCTTTTTTTGCAAAAAAAAACTTCAAATTTTTTTTGAGTTTTTGGCAAGTATTTAGTCCTTTTTTGACTTTTTCTGTAGTTTATACGTTTTACAGCAAACGTACTCCAAAAATTATCTGTTCTTGAAAACAGTGACTTCTAGAATGATGATATTTTTGCTTTGGTTTTGACAAAAGCTATAACTTCAGTTCGAATTTTTTTTCTCAAGACTGGGAAATTTTTGCTCAAAACTTAAAATTATACCTCAATCAATGTGATTTTTGAAACTTTATGGTTCAGCGAGGCAAAAAAACACCGCAACCTAAGTTCCGACTCACCTTGGGTGATCACAATTATGCTTTGCTGTGAAAACTTGTATCAAATGTTTCAGAATCCCGGAGCCCACTCCCGGTGAAGAATATTCAATGTGAGTCAACTTTACTCCCTCAGTCTTATCCTTTGGCGACTTTTTTTCAATTAAAGCAGGCGATTTCTTAAGTTTTGTTAAACTTGAGAGCAGCTAGCTGCCCTGCTCTTTCATAATATTCATCTTCGCCAAATTGAAGCAAAACAATACGCAATAAAAAATAAGTCCTTGTTGAACATTTTTAGACAAAATAACCCATTTCCCAGCACCATATATATAGAACATTTGTTTTTATAGGCCCGACCCGAATTACGTGGAAACCGGTGCTTATGTTAATCCAAATCTTGACAAAGAATTCACAGTTTCAATTAGCAGTCAACAATCAGAAACATACCAGGAAACGCTTGAAATGAAACCAATCAGTTACTTAAACTCAACCGAGGTAATTGAGCATTCGTCCAGAGGCATGGGGGATTATGCCGATAAAGTTGAGAGAACGCCCGCCGCCTACAAAAAATTTGGTAGTTATCCTTAATGCGATGTTATATCAAAACGGTTATGCAGATTTGTTTTAATAGATTTATTTGATCCAAATTTTCCAATTAAATTTATGAAATATTTTGAATAAAACTTTTACCGAGAAAACGTATTTTGAATAAAATGTTTCTGGAAAAATGTTCTGCGCGCCATCTTACCGCTAAGTGGTCAGTTATCATTTCATTTAAGCAAAATATACTCATGAGCTCAGAAAACAAAAAATATTAGAATTGAGAGAAATATTTTCAAAAACAACTAGAAACAAACACTAAACTTCTGAATCGTTTTTTTTTTGTAAATTTGGGACAAGTAAATGAAAGTTCACAGTTTTCCACGTGGCAATTAAATCACCGCCTGAATCCAAGTTTGTCATCCAGTAGCATCTTCGCAATGACCGGGTCATTTTTAATACCCTCTGCGAACTCCATGTAAGTCAAGTATCCCTTTCTCTGTTTGTCCATCTGGCGGAATATCCTCTTTGTCCTAATCGAGGGATTCAATTCATCTTCTGCAGCTCCGATCATTATAGTTCCCACAAGCGCCAGCATAGCCTAAAAAACCTTTGCGAAACGTTGATATACCGTGAGCTTACCAGTTGAATTTCTCGAGCTCACAACTCCGCCAAAATTAATGTCTGACGAAAAATGAAAAAAATTGTACTTTTGAGCCGCTGTTTGCAACTTTTGATACGAAACCCAGCTTATTATTGCTAATTTACACAGTAAAAATTTGACGCGTGTTTTCCTAAATTAAAAGATACATATTGCGAGACCACTTAAAATGCTGGGTGAAAGTGCTTGCTTATTATTTGCGCCCTGATTAGAACATTTTTATGGCTTCAAAACAATATATATTTTTGAACATAGCCAAATGACAGTTGGAAAAGAGTAATGAACGCAAGGAAACTGAAACAAAAAAAATGACTTATTTTTTTTAATTTTCAGTTTTTGAATTCTAAGAAAAAAACAGATGGCCTTAAAGCTCTTTGAATTTGTAGAACAATTTAAGATGGACACTTTTTTCTTAAAATTAACCAAATTTGAAAAAACTGGATCAATAGGCAAACTTTTTTATTTCACTGAGATATCTGATAACTAATTTCCATTTTCGAAATTAGAAGTCAATCACGTTTTTGTGGCTTTTACATTTTTGCTAATCGATGGTGGAGTTTGCCTTCCTTTTAACAATGGAAATGCTCTGAATTTAAAAAGAAATCACAAGTCAAACCGCGAGAAATCAAAATTGAGCGTGAACGGAAAACGGAAAAAAAATTTAGAATTTTTTCATGAAAAAAAAACAAAAAAAACTTCAAACGGAAAAAATTTTAGACTTTTTTCCTGAAAAAAAAAACAAAAAAAATCAGCATGACCTCTATAAGAGTCTTCACTACGTCCATTAATCTTAAAAAGTTTTGCTCTACATTTAGTCTTACAAAGTTACAACACATCGTGACCAGCCAATTTTTTTCTTTGTAGGAATATTCGGCCCTTCCTTAAATCCGCCTCTGAAAGTTTATATAATTATCTGTAATATTTATCCAAATGCTTGAACTGTTTAGCAACTGAGTTATGTTTAACTTACTGTACTCATAGAGTAATTTCAGATGAGGTACATCATCTGCTCGTCAAGCTATCTTATTTTCGGCCGGATAGATGCGTGCAACTTCTTAGTCTAATACCAATCTTAATGTTACTCTTATATCTCCTAGTCTCAATAGATCTAGTGTACACCAGTTTGCGCGAGTTAGTTCCAGAATGAGAACAACTGTATTCTAAGTTTAATTCAAATTGTTCTGGTGTTGAAACTACAAGTAGTTTCAACACTTTACAAATAAATAGGTTGTTAGTTTGATGGATGGTATATGATTGGTTAGTACTTCATATTTTATATAGATAAAATATCATAATAATAACCAATGATAAATACTAGTTTAGATCTGGTTCCACCCATCCAGGGTTTAGAGAGTTTTAGTTTTTCAATGTTTCCTATTGTAGCGGAGGATGGATGATGGTATTCTTTTGAGAAGTTGCGAGCATCTTCTTTATTCCGATTTGGAAGAAGGATCGGTATCGGTAGCTCCAGGAAGCTGGAATCGTGGATAAGGAAATGTTCTTAAACAAATGTTGTTGATCGCGATCGTTTTGGGAGATCGTATCATGATTACTGATTGGTTGTGATGAAAGCTGATCTGGTTTATAGGAACGTTGCTATTCTCAATCTCGTCCGGGAACGGCAGCTAATTCGAATTTGGATGCAGTGCCTGGTGACTTGGATCTGTAAGTAAACTTGAACATCGAGACGGTCATTGTTCTGTTGCAAAGGATTCCCTTTTATGCGATGCCAAGTAGTACTCTAAATCCATTGAGTGTAGTGACTGCAGGCAGCATGTCAGGTGGGTTTTGCCTTTCCGTAGTTGGAGTGTGATTGGGTTGTCAAAATCGTTGCTGCTCGTCTTTGGGCTGTATGTAATCTATATACTGCATTATATCATTTACATGTACAAATCTTTGTTAATATTGTTTTTTAATTATGATCTTGCATTAGTTTTTATCGCAAAAGCGTAACTATTTAGTTCGGTTCTTTTTAAGAGCTACTCACACTTGAGTAACTCTCGTCAAAAATAGCGTCGTGGGTGTCACAAAGCGTAGATGTAGCACGGTAGATGAGGCCGGCCATAGAGCATGCTCAGGACGTCCTCTTCTGGTGGGTTAGGCCAGAAGTGAGGGTATAATCTCGTGCTTTCTTTGGACGGTCCTGTGTTAGTTCAAACATTTCATGCTATTTGTTTTAGTAGTGTTTTCTTTTTTTTTGTCTTAATTTTGTCTTTTTCTCAAAAATCAATTTGTTTTATTTTGAGTTTGTATTTCGACTTTTTGGTGTTTTGTTTTTTTTGTGTTCAGACTTGAAAGTAGTCTTCAAAAGAATAATTTATCCAGTTCTAAGCTGGTGTTAATCCAGTTTGGGTACCGTGGTTTTTCCTTACTTAGTCATGCTCTTAGGTTGTGGCTTGCGGTGTTTAGTAAACTTGAATTGGATTTTTATATAACTCCCTTCCAACTGGGTTAAAGGAAAGTTTGAAACGTGTTAAAACTTGGTAGAGTTGTTTTCAGTGAAAGTTGAAACTTAACTTCATTATTTTAAACAATTTTTTGTGGGCGAGCAATGCGAATTTGGATAAAATTTGTGGGCGAGAGATTATAAAGAAGCGTCTTGAAAGAGGTTACTACTGCTTTCTGCATTTTATGAACAATATTTATCAATTTACCATTTAAAAAAAAAAAATTTTACTGCTTGATTTGGGGTTGAAATTATTAAATTATTTTCAATTGTAAGAAGATTTACTGCTATGGGGAAAAAAAGTATATGTTAATTTACTGCTTTGCACGGGAGAATTTTATTGCTTCAATTATTGTTGTTTAATAGAAATTATTGATCTGATAAAGAGTTTCTGTTTTTTATTTTGCTTTTAGTTTTGTAGATGATTGATGATTGTGCCTATGAAGAAAAAGAGAGAACAATGAACAAGAATGGTTAGTGTTGTTTAAATTTATTAGTAAAAGGTTGAATTCTTTTTACCTAATTGTCTGTGAAGAATCCATAGGGAAAAACATCGTGGATGATATCAGAAGATGTTAGTAGTTTGGCTAACAAACGAATGATGTGTTTAGTTTGCGAAAGTGGCCAAAGCAATTCAGGTGCTTTAATGATGTTATGTTCTTCAGTGTTAGCTGATTGTTCATACGGTGTGTTTTGAATAAGGTTTCATAATTTGTGATTATAGCGAGTGTTATATATGAAGTCTAGGATTGGGACTTCAACGGGCTGAAGGAATTCATGAGGGACAATTAGTGGGCGGGATTTATCTACATTTAGGAGTTTGTTTAGTGGGCAGAAGATATATATCTGGGTGATGGGATCGTATTTTCTGAGGGTGCCTTGTAAGTAAGTGTCTTTAATACAATAGGTGAAGTTAAGAAAAAATGGTGATGTTTATATAGAGTTAATGTATTGAAATCTATGGTGAGGTTGTCGTGCTGGTGTATTGAGAGTGTAATGACTTTGAATGAGCTTGTAATAAGTGTACGTGCGTGTTTGTTTAGTTCGTAACATGACTTCGTGTGAACAGTGCAATTCACGTTCTTTGGGTGTGAGGAAATGAAAAGTTAGTGAAAAGTGGTTAAATTTGTTAAAGTATGAATCATAAGCATGAATATTACGTAGTGCTGCAGAGATGACATTGTCGAAATTTTTTATTTAAGATATTGAGAGTGAAGGTGTTTGAGATCTCGATGAAAATTTTTTCGGTTAATTGGGGATTAGCAAAAAAGTCGTTGTTAAGACAAATGTCTTCATTTGGTCGGATGATGTTATGATCTTAATAATCGATGGAGTGTTCATTAGCTTTAGGTGCAGTGAATTTGGTTAGTGATTGTCTGTATCTTATTTGCGTGAACTGGTTTGGGGTAAGTGCTGTTGTTGGAAGGTAGAGTTGAGTGCTGCATACTTCATTATCATAAGGGTGTTAAATAGTGGTAATTATAAAGGATTAGTAAAGTGGTAATGAGATGTCCATGAAAGTGTGGGGTATAATACATGCTCGTTTACACAATGGGGTTTTTCATCATTGGGGTCGGAATGAAAGTACATGACATATTTGTAGGAATTCTTTCGTATTAGTGTGAAGTGGATGATTGACAATTGTGGTGGATGTTCCTGGGTTAGATTGGAATGGGGTATTTGGAAATTTTCTTTTGAAGGTTCGGTAAGCGCGGTTGGTACTAGAGGATGGGGTTGATGGAGAAGTGGGGTTTTGGGAGGGTGTAGACGTTGAAGAGGGGGTTGGGGTTGATAGGTTGGATGATGTTAAAGATCGTGAGAGTTGGTGAATAGTTAGTGTTTGAGGGTGTTATAATCGTTGTTGTAGTGTTATGAGGTTATCAAGTTCATGTGATATTTGTGTGTGATCTTCGTCGTTGTTATCGGATGGTTTGCTGGTTAGAGGGGATTATATGGGTGTAACATATGAAATGGGAGAGGGAGGGGAAAGGGGTTCATTTTTGACTTGGGAATGAATAGGTTGAAAGGGAGGTTGGGAAAATGTAGGTGGACTGGGTTCAGAGTTGGCAAATTTGTCGGCTGTTTCGATATCGGAGTTGTTGAATTGGGAGATAGTGTTATATACTGTTGTGTTGGAATTAGTATCTGATTCTATGCTGGGTGAAATGTTATGATGATGATTGAGGTGGGGGGAAAACCAAAAAGTGGGACGATGGGGAAGTTGTCCTGAAGGTTGGCTGGGTGGAAAATTGATCGATGGAGGGATCCAATTTGGCGGCTCATCGTGGGCTAAAAACATGGTTACTCTGAGAACCAAAAGTAGTGGTGTGTGGTTGTTCTATATTTTGTTCATTTGTGTCGTCTATGTTGGGTTGTTGGTTATTATGTGTTGGATTGGGCTTTGTGGATAACTAGATCTCGAAGTTATGAGGTCTGATAGGGCAATGTTTCTAAAATTTTTTGGTACTAAGGATACGGGGTGGTCATGGATAAG